TGCGAGAGGAAAAGGCATTGTTGGAGGCAACTCCACTAGAAGACCTCTTTACCGTACCCACACATATGGTTCCTGATCAGAGTGTGCGGATCACTGTAGCTGATGAACAGCGGGGACACCTGCCGAAGTGGGGACGTACTCACGATCCCGATATCGAGGAGACTTATTCCGCCCCCTTGTGCACCATGGTCGAAGACGATAACTACGGACTCGACTCCGACGAAAACGGTCGATGCGTTGAGCTGTGTTCTACGACAGAAATGTCAATGGTAGTCTTGTCCGAACAGCAACGGATGTTGTTAGACGCCGGCCGGGTGACCACTCTGCGAGTATATATATATATATATATATGTTTATGTATATATATATATATACTACTGCCGCTGCAAAGCGAGCTGTGGTGGTCAAGGAAGACGACCTCCTCACTAAAGCTGATGTTCGGGCAAACCCCGCGAAAATATCGAAGGCCACTTTCACTGAATTCAAGACATGGTTCGACAGCGAATGTTTCAAGGTGCAGGAGATTGCCAAAGCGTCGAACATCATGACTTCGAGGTATGTCTACAAATGGAAATTCGTGAGGAACGAAAAGGGTGAAATGGAACGCACCATCCGACTTCCTCTGGTACTTCGAGGCTCCATGGACCTTGAAGCTGTCGACGTAGAAACATGTTCGGGAACGGCCAGAAGGTCAAGCCAAAGGTTACTTGCTAGCACGGCAGCGTGCAATAAGCAAAGGATCATTGCTCCCCTAGACATCAACATTGCTTTCTTGAAGGGATTGACCTATCAGGAACTCGCTGAGGCCATTGGTGACAAGGAACGCGTGGCGTGCTTTACTTTGCCGCCTGGATCGGCAACTGCGCTCCGTGCTCTCCCAGGATTTGAGAACTACGACGAGCCAGAGCACTGTCTGCAGTGCTTGAAACCGAGCACAGGCACTAAGGGCGCCCCACGGGCTTTCTCACTTAAGCTCAGGAGAACCACTCGAGGATTTGGCCTCCGACCTACGCCATACGACGAGGAGTTCGAGGCGAGCAGCAGCCTGCTCACGGCCAAGCATGTTGATGACGTTAGCATGGCAGGCACTGAGGACATCATTGGCGAGTATGTCAAATGCGTTGAGGATACCTTTGGTAAGTGCAAATTCAACAAGCACACCTGCACGAACTGTGCTGTGATATATACCAAGGACGAGGACGGCAATGTCACTTTGGACCAAGATGAATATATTAAACAGCTCCGTCCTATACACAATCCTGAATTGACCGGTGATGACGCTGACGCTCAGGCGACCAAGAGGTGGCAGGTATGTTCGTCAGTCTCAGAGGTGCGCTGGCAGACGCACTGATCACCCAGATATGGTTGATGGTATATGTTGTATCTCTACAGCGTGTCCAAGAACCGACCAATATTCAAGTGCGACGACTGAACGCGATCACCGGAAAGCTACAGGCCTGCCCGAAGAAGATCGTCTACCAGGCGATGAACCCCACGGGTGAGGTCGATTTACGTAGCGACTCAGGCTATCGACGCCTGAGTGGAGGTAGAGACGACGTCAAAGGCTATGGCATTGGCGGGGCAAGCCTGCTACGACGTGGAAACACGTCATCTGGCAAGCCTGTCGTTCATTTGGTTGATGCGTACTGCTCTCACCGCTTGCAAGTACGCTCAAGTTACTCAGCAGAGACACTTGCAGCAGCCCACAATTCGGAGGACTGTTATCCCACGATTGTGACTCTGCGCGGGCTCCACGCGGGGCCACTTACGCCCACTCAGTTGAAAGACATACTTGAGTTGGGTGGCCTGAGCATCAAGGTCACCTTGACCATCGATGCTGAGTCTGTCTTTAAGTCCTTGTCAAGCAAAGACTTGAAGAAGCCGGCGGAGTGTACCCTGTTAGGACACATAAGTTGGATACGACAGATGATGGAGCGCGGAATGGTGCATAGCATTTAGTGGTGTGATACCCGCGACATGACTGCGGATGGACACACCAAGGGGAGCATTGACAGATATGCTCCTACAAGTCATGGGAGGTATATTGACCTTCGAACATATATATATATATATAACACGCCATATCGGGCCGGCCAGACAAGAAGCTCTGAGGCCGCCTGAGGAGCACATTATATGGTAGTGGCCTCCGGCCAGTGCCGCCGATCCGGGGCGCTCCGCAAGATGGTGATCAGGATGATGCTGCAGGGAAGAGGGCAGGGGAGGGGGTCTGCTCTGCAGGGGGAGTCCGCTCGGCAGAGGGAGGGACTGCAGGGGAGAGGGGTGGTCCGCTCTGAAGGAGGGGGGGGCTGCAGGAGAGGAAGTCTGCTCTGCAGGGGGGGGGGGGAGGGGGGGGCGTCCGCTCTGCAGGGGGGGGGCTGCACGGAGCGGGGTCCGCTCTGCAGCGGGGGGGGGGGCTGGGCTGCAGGGAGGGGGGGGGCGGTCCGCTCTGCATTGGGGGGGGTCGCTCTGGGAGGGTGGGGGGGTTGCAGGAGGGCGGGTCTGCTCTGCAGAGGGGGGGGGGGCAGGGGGGAGGGGGGGATTCGCTCTGCGGGGGGGGGGGGCTGCAGGGAGGAGGTCCGCTCTGCAAGGGGGGGGGGTGCTCTGCAGGGGGGGGGGGTGCAGGGGGGGGGGTCGCTCTGCAGTGGGGCGGGGGGGCTGCACGGGGGGGGTCCGCTCTGCAGGGGGACGGGGGCGGTCCGGTCTGCAGGGGAGGGGGGCCCGCTCTGGGAGGAGGGGAAACTGCAGGAGGGCGGGTCTGCTCTGCAGAGGGGGGGGGAGCAGGGGAGGAGAGGGGGATCCGCTCTGCAGGGGGGGGGGGGGGGCTGCAGGGAGGAGGTCCGCTCTGCAGGGGGGGGGGTGCTCTGCAGGGGGGGGTTGCAGGGGGAGGGGGGGTTCGCTCTGCAGTGGGGCGGGGGGGCTACAGGGGCGAGGTCCGCTCTGCAGGGGGGGGGGGGGGGCTGGGCTGCAGGAAGCGGGAGGGGGCGTTCTGCAGGGGATGGGGGGTTCCGCTCTGGGAGGGGGGGGGCGGGGCGAAGCACTGAATTAGGTCGGAAATGAGGTCCCCCCCCCCCGAAGCACTGAATTAGGTCGGAATGAGGTCGGAAATGAACTCCCCCCCCCCGCAGAGCGAAGCTTGAGCGAGCTCAAGCCCACGCTCTCAGAAACTCACACGCCGGATCGGCGGATATGCGAGGCAACTTGCTGGCGGGTCCAACTCCTTTGGGCCTGTTTCTTTTCTTGTCTTTATATCGGTTAACTGCTGAACTGTTTCTGTAATGCGGGTGGTGGACGCACGCTTCGTCTCCCTCCCCCCCGACTCTAAAGCGAGCTGGGGGACGTAAGGAGTGGAAGCGAGCGTGCGCCCGCGGCCGCCATGGCTCAAAGCGGCCGGCCGCCCAGATTTGATTGTGCCTCACCGAAGCACACAATCGTTATTGATACTAAAAGGCATCCCCTTTTACTTGACACTTGACATGGCATCCCCTCTTGCATTGGGGCTGTCGCTACTACGATACAGCCGAGCTGGAGCTTGGCTTCGCCTGAGGCGAAGCTGTTGGCGGGGCCTCCCAGCCCCCTTTCAAACTGGCAAGACTACAAGGGACATGAGGGCACTCCAACTCATTCGTGCATTGCGGCACGGTGACGGATCCAGGGTCGCTGGAATTAACGGTGTTCTTGTTCGGGTGTTGAAATAGCTCGCGATGCGGTCTTGGGGCGAGATGCGTTCACTACTTTACACGAGCGCCACATAATGTACATTTGCGGATCGACTTTCCGATGCAAATATGTATGGAAGAGGGGAATGCGAAGGAGGAGGAGGAGGAGTTTTTTTGGGGTTGGTCTTAGTTAGCCCATGTCCCCTCCACTTCTACCCTTGTAGTTTGATTGGCGGGATGCTCCTCCTGCTTCCGTATCACTACACTGTTGCATACATGTTGCATGCGTTCTCGTTCCCAATGGCAACTGCTTGTGCCAACAGAACTGCTAGAGGTGCGTGCTGATTATTGTTCCCGCATGCTGTGCTCATCCGACTACTATGATATCTTGATCAGTTGTTTGTTGCATTTTTCTCGTTTGCTCTTCCCGTATTGTCACGGCAATGTTGTGGTGTTGTTTCGAATGTTCGCATGGTTACTTATGCTATATGGCCGCCGTTGTCATGAAATTTGTCGCGTTCTATTCAGGTCATCGTGTTGCTATCCTACCATCTTACATTGCCGTGCCTTTGTGGCTTTCACTGTATCACTGGTCTCGTCCATCAAGTTGTTCATTCATGTTCCCAGCCCCTCCGAGCCAGTTTGTTGATTTTCCGTATTACTGTTAATTTGTTGTGCAGCCATATTCTTATCATGTCGTATGGTTGTGCGGTTTTGTTTTGTTGTGCATGCGCACGTTTGCGCGACGATTATCCTACGAGGGTACTACGCGCACGTGTAAATTCATGATTACAATGGTTCCCTCACTGCTTAATCATTGCCATCCCTATCGCTACGATACAATGACACCGAATCCGGAGCGTCCCCTATGTATTCGCAAATGCATTCTGCGGGCATCATACAACTTACGGTTTGAGCTCACTTCAACTTTTCATTCCACTTGTACACATAGTTGTCCCGGGCGTCTGCGCGCGTGGATTTCTGCTAACTTACGCTTTCGGTGCTGAGCCATCGTCCGTCAACAACTTCAGAACGTGTGGATTTTGAGGCCGGTGTTGACGATGAGCCCAGGGGGGCTGAATGTTTATTGAAGTTGTTTCTAAGAAGAGGGGATGGTGCAGCCAGTGCAATGAGTAATAAGAACGAGGACGAGAGGAGGGGAGTGGAGAAAGAGGAAGGAGGGACAGAGCCTGACGAGAGTGCGATGAGGGGAGGATGGATGAGAGGAGGAGAACGGAGGAGGAAGAGGATGAAAGAAATGGAGGACGGAGGATGAGGAGGATGAAATGAAGGGGGGGGAGAGAGAAAGGGGAGGCGGAGGAGGAGGGAGGATCCCCACGGCAGGGGCAGCCCGAGGGGTACGGCTACGACGGCCCGGCGCTGAACACGTCGCGCCGTCTGGACGGCCAGATCTCGAAGGTCCCAGGGGTGACGCTTTCCTCCTCCTCCTCCTCCTCCTCTTCCTCCTCCTCCTCCTCCTCCTCCTCCTCCCTCCTCATCCTCCTGCTCCTCCGTAGCCATTTAGGCTCAAGGCCATGAGTTCCTCAGGGGAACCAGTGGATACCGCCAGTCCGCGGCCAGCTCGCAAGGTTTGATCACCCTCCGATCCTCGCAGTGATCTGCCCAGCCGCTGCGAGCCAACGGGCCACCACGCTGGGCGCCGTGGGAAAACAGAGGCGTTTCCCGTTCCTGCGGCGCTCATCGTCATGCCCGAGCTGGTCGAGCGCACGGGCCTCGCCCCAGGCGTCCAGCGCCGCAAGAAAATGGCTCGGGGTGTTGACGGTGATGCTCTCACCCCTTGTGCTGGCGACAGCCATGGTTCCTCCGTCCAAAGCGAAGTTCCTCATGGTGGCGCCTGTCCTCGTTCCCCTGGTGCTGCTGCTCCTTCTGTACCCGTTCCTATTCACAGTGACTCTGGCGGGCGTGAAGAAGACTGGCGTGATGATGACGACTAGGATGACGAGTACATTGTGCGCATCGCCGAGAAATTCATCGCGGACAAGATGGTCTCCCACCGCAACGCACTCATGGGCGAACTCACCGCGGTCGTCTTCTCCACCGTCGCTGAGCACGTCCAGGGCTTCGGCGCGCAACTGGCCGCTCATTCTGCTTCTGTTGCTAAGATCGCTAAAGGCGCCAAACACATTCCCAATATGTGCTCCGACGCATCCTCCCAGTTTTGTTGTGACACGCTGGCCGCCTTCGCGAGGCGCTTCCAGGAGCATATCGATGGACAGACCGTCAAGCTGCGAGCCCTCGACTCCAAGGTCTCCGAGCACGGCGCCTCCATCGACGCGCTGGGGGATCAGATCCAGGAGCTCCGCGGCGCGCTCGCTTTGGCGAGCACGCAGCCGAAGCAGCCGCTCCACGCCGCCGCAGGCTTCGAGCGCGACGTCGACTCTACCATCGTTCTGGCGGCGTCGGCGAAGCTCGCCGGCCGTGATGCTGTCAAGCAGGTGCTGTCCGACTGGATCGTCTCCGTCGGGGTGCAGGCCGGCTGCTTCGACATCGCGTCCCCCGTCCAGGTCAGCAAACGCTTCGCGATTCAGGTCACGGGCGCTGCCGCTCCTGCCGCCCGTCGCGCGGCCGAAGTCCTCGGCGCTCAGCGTTGGCCCCGGGGCAGTGGCGAGGTTTCGAGGTGGTGTGTGCCGTCGGTTCGGCGTCGCCGCATCACATTGGCCTTCGCAAGAGCCCTCGTCAAATCAAGACGGAGACCCAGGGCCGCAAGCTCAGGGATGCCTTCCGCGACGTCGACGGCAGCAAGGGGTGGTTCTTCGATCGCGACCGCGACTTCCTCATGGCCAGGTGGGGCCCCGCCCTCCGCACCCCCCCCGCAGCCCCGCAACGTCGCGACCGAACTATCCTGGGCCGATAATGTCATCGCCAAGCTGGGCCTCGACAAGGCTGCGCTCGTCGCCGCGGCGAAGGCCATCGTCGATCCCCCCAGAGACGGCCAAGTGGGGTCGTTGATCCGTTCGCATTGCTGCTCCACGGACGCATGCTAGGCGCGCCTTCCTTGGCCTTCACCTCGCGGAACACCAGGGCGCTTCTTCAGTACCAGCGTGCGCGCTGCAAGGTCAAACTGGGCTACGCCAAGAGGTTCGACTTCACGAAGGGCATCGTGCGCCTACAGGAGCTGAGTCGAGACCGAGCTCAATTTCAATACTTCCTAGCTAAGGATTCGCCGGGGATTCGCACGTGCGCCAGGTACTTCGTGGGATCTGCAGTCAAGGGTGGCGTTGTGACCATTATTCCCGCGGGGTGTTCGGCCGTTGCTCACCCTACTGCTCTCGCCCCTGGGCGCGCGCTACGACTGGCCCTTCGCTTGGACGAGGCGATCTTGATTCACTATGACGCGCGCGACCGCGACCTCGCCCACGCGCGCTTGCGGCGGATTTTCGCTGCTATGGAGTCGGACTTTGCAGCTGCTCAGCGCGACCCACTTCACGTGTTTGGCGTGGTTCATGGCGACTTCAATGTTTCTCCTCGGGTCCCCCTTTTGCTTCGCTCACCTGGTCGAAGGCAGAGGGCAGCGCGCGCGCGCGTCGCGCCGGCGACGCGCTGATCGCCACTTCGCGGAGATCACGTCCGAGGAGCCGGCCCGCTACGACAGGCGCTCCAACTTTGTTTCGGTTCTCGGCAGGCTGCGGGTGACCTGACATGGCTGGGTCCTCGCGCAGGCCGCGTCGGAACTCGCGGCCGTTGGCGCGCCCGGGGTTATTGCCGACAAGCTCACCAGCGACCGCGCGGCGCACAAGGTGATGTTCACTCAGCGGCGTCTCGATCCTCGCGGTGCTCAGAGGATCCCTCGGCGCATCTTCGAGTCTTTACACCTCCAGGAGCTGCTGCGCCGCGTCCCCCCCTAGCTCGACTGCGCGTTGCTGTCGCCGCCTGGGCAGGTGGAGCTTCGAAAGTTGGCGAGGCTAGAGGTTGCCGAGGAGGTCCGCGACAGAACCTTCATCGCGGACCCCGAGCCCGTCGCCGCGCATTCCTTCACGCCGGGCAGATTGCTCGCGCAACGTGGCGCAGCGACGTCGGTTTGGCCGACGAGTTTCGTCGCCCCCATCGCACCGCCCACGACGCTCTCATCGTCGCGGAGCGCGGAGTCGAGCTGCGGCGCGCCATTTCTTTCCAACGTTGGCGCGAGGGGGCCCCCGAGGCTTAGACATCCCAATTTAAGTCGTCTCCAGCTCGACCGCGTGCCCCGCGCTTCCCGCAGAACCAGCTGTCAGTCACCGGGCGCAAGTCTGCGATGCGGCCCCCGCTGAGCCGTCGCCTCGTACTTCGCGGGGCGAAGGCCTCATCGGATGCCCCTGATATCGCGACCGAGGATGCAGCTGGCCACCAAGATGCACTACTCCGAGCCCAGCCTTGGCTCTATCCCGCTTCCTGCCCGGGCTGCCTCGGAGGCGGGCCGCGCGGTGCATTCCGAGGCGCTGATGTGGATCGCGCGCGGCCAGGCCCTCTTCAACAGCTCCAACATTACCTTGCAGGCATGGCCCCCCCAAGCGCGATGGGGCCGGGGGCTCCCTCTCCTGGCTGGATGTTGACATGCGTCGGGCTCTGTTCGTGTCTTGGGACTGCAGAACAGACGTCAGGCTGATCAGCGTTGCGATCGACTTACAGCTGAGCGAGCTGCTTGTTGATTGGGCTCCACGCTCGCATCGTCGCCTCGCCCCCTCGCGCAACTTCGGCGTCGACATCTTCGCGCCCGACGCTTCCCCGAGCGTCTTCTCGAACCTTCTTTCGGCTAGCCGAGATATGCCTGCGCTCGCGGCTCTGGACTTTGGCGCGGCCTTCCCGAGCTTCTCCCAGGAGTTCGCGCGCTTGGTGTACGTGCAGATGGGCGCGCCTTTCGCCTGCATCTCCGTGCTGGACCAGCTGTGCCTCATCTTGGAGGCCGTCGTCATGCTCAATTGCTTCAGCGCGCATGCCTGGTGGGTCTCGTCAGCGCTCGTTCAGGGCTACTCGCTCAGCGGGTCCATCTATGCTGCTGTCGCGGCCTGCTTCCCCTTCGACCTGCAGGGCCGCCTGGAGGCGCCCCGACTTGATCGTGCGAAGGCTTGCGCTGGCGACATTGGCTCCGTCGCTCGCTCCATCCGCCCCCTCTGCATTCTGGCGGGCGTCGTGCAGATTGCGGCTGTCGTCGCGGCGCTCCCCCTCGAGCTCGGCAAATGCAAGCTTGTTTCCCTATTCGCCGAGTTCTCGCCTCAAGTGGCCGGCGCCGTCATGGGCGCCCTCGCGGCCCCGGCCCCGTTCTTATCCTCCGCGCTTGTGGTCAGCACCCTGGTCTACCTCGGCCTCGTCCTTGGCCCTGCTGCGGGCGACGGCTATTGTCGGCGCGCCCCCGGCGTGAAGTCCAATCTGCGCTCCAAGAGGTTTCGTGGCAGCGCGCAGGCCGTCTCGCGGCTGGCCAACAATTGCGCCAAGAGGATCGCCCCCGTGCTCTCGTGCGTAGCCCAGTACCGCATGATGCCACGGTGGCTTCTGCGAGAAAAGCCCCCCGCCTTCTCGCGCGCTCTCAGGGCCCCTCTCGGCGTCTTCAACATGACCGCTTGACTGCATTTGCGTGCTGCGGGCGGCCCATCGATTCCTTCCTGGCTTGCTCTCAGCGCGGGGGCTCTGGTCCACGCTGCCCGCCACGCTCTGCCAGAGTAGCGCCTTGGGGCTGGCTTCTTCGGCAACGGAATTGGCTTGGTGACCTGCGCTCACTTCGTCAGGCAGCGTCGTTTTCGGCTTATCCGTCTTCCTGGAAATCCGAAGCCGTTGTCGAGGCGCCCCACAGGGCCCCCACCGCAGCCGCGTCCGCGCGCTTTCCTGCATGCAAGAAAGGCATTCTCAGCGCGGCCGTCGCAGCCGCCACTGCATGGGCACAAGAGCCTACCGCTGGGCGGGGTCATCAGCGATCGGTCTCGGCTGCTGTTCGCCTTCAGCTTCTTCGTCAGCCGCTGTGGGGCTGCTTTGCCGCGCGCCTGGCGCTCTCTTGTGCCGCGTGGGCGATCGGGCCACCTCCTCACCTGTCTCCGCGGATGCCCCATGGCGCGGGCCGTCGCTCACCTCGAGATTGTCGCGAACGGGTGGGCGACGTCTCACCGCATTCTTCAACCTCGTGGTCGCCTGGCATGCCGTCTGGGATGCCGCGGTGCTTCCGACGAGCTCAAGCACTTCCTGTCCCGCGCCCCGCCCCGCCAGATCGTCGAGCAGGAGCTCGGCTACACCAGCCCGCGTTCGCCTCTCGGGCGCCTTGATCTTCTTGGCAGCGCTGTCGAGCTGGATCGCGTCGTCTTTTTGACATCGCGGCCATCTGCCACGCCTGCGTGCCCGCGTCCCGCGCGGCACCAGCCTCCCCATGGTTTGCCTCGCTTGTCAGATCCCATATTCGTGCTGCTATTCGGGCGGCCAAGCTGGGCGCGATTTCGGCGGCTCGTGCCCCCTTGCTTTCTCGCGCTGGGCAGGCGCGCCCGAGTCGCGTGCCTAGCCTGGCGACGCGTTCGGCGTCTTCCAGTGCGACGTCATCGCCCTCCTGCTCATCGTCGCCCAGAGCTTCTTCGTCGGCCTCGCCCTCTCCATCGCGCCCTTCGCTTCGCGTCGCCCATGGCGCGTTCGGCGTGGGCAGCGAGGCCCGCGGCAGAGACCTTCGGCTCGTGCAAGATGGGCGTCCATCCCAGCGACGGTGCGGACTTCCCAGCGACGACCCGCAAAGCCCCTCGCTGCGCGCGACAACCACGACGACCCCCGCAGCCTTCTCCTCTCCACCCTACCCCTGCCGGCAGTCTTGACAGCATCCCAAGACGCTAGCCACCCACGCGGCTCGGACGGACAGCTGGGCCATGTGAAGCTCGGTTCAAGCTTCGGTCTGGTTCCGAGGGGCGGGGTGGCAGGACGGCCGCTGCTCGCGCTTGCCAGCGGACGCGGCGCGGGGCCGGGGGGGGGGGGGAGGGCGGCCGCGCCCCGCGCCCCCACGGCCCGCCCGCGGCGGGGGCGGCGACGCCGCCCCCACCGCATCCAGGGCGAAGGAGGAGGCTACCCGACTTCTCGGATCGAGCAGAGCCATTGGTCCAGCTACCCGCCATCACCCACATCGGCGATCTCTCCGCCCCCTCCTGCTCCGCAGCATTGGTAAGGACAAACGTGACTTTGCGTTGGCCAGGCCTGCTATGTGGCGATGCTCCTGCCCCCCGCCATGCCCCCCTGGGGCCCCCGGCTTCGCGCGCCTCTACGCCGCGCGCTCCCCGCGGCGGGGAAATGCCCTCACCGCCTGATCTACTTCGCTCTGAGCGGCGACAGCGGGGGCTCACCGACAGGGCCACGCTGTGGGCCAAGGCGTGGCTCTCGCGATCTTCTACGGGCGCCTTGAGGGCGACTTCCAGGTGTGGCTCGATTGGTGCGTGTACAGCGTGTACGGGCTCTTGCATTACGACGGCTTCTACTCCCCTCGAACACGCTGCTTGCGGCGCCGCCCCTCGTCTCTGTCACGTTGCTGCAGAGATATGCTTCGCTGCTTGTCATGCGAGTGCGGCCCCCCGTGCGCGCCTTCGTAGGCAGCCACGTGCTACTCTTCATCGTCCCGCTTCAGCTCGCCGATCCGCGCGGCTTCATGATCTCGCTCATCTCAGTGCGCTGGAGTGGCGCCCCGACCCCTCGAGGCCCCGTTCGGCAGGCTTGCCAAGCTCTCCCGCTCGGTTCTTTTCGTTGGCACCTGGAGGCGCATCGCTTCACCGCGTGCGTTCCCTGCCCCTGACCCTGGCGACGGGGCCCGCCAAGGCGAGCGTGAACTTTTGGTCGGCGAACCGCTGGCCCCTCCGCTTCGCTCGCCGCGCCCCGCGCAGTCGCCTTCGTCTTCTGGACCCCCCCCCCCCCCCCTCCGGATGGAGAGCCCGCTGCGCCGCTTCGCCTGGCGGCCCCCCACATCCCGCCGACTCGGACATCGAGGCCATGGGCGCCGCCGAGAGCCAAGGCAGGGACTCGCCCAAGCATTACAGGGGCGACGCGATGTCGAATGGCGAGTTCCTCTACCTCTACAATTTCGGTTTGGGGCCGCGCCTTCCTGACCGCGGCGTGGTGCGCTCCTCGGTCGGCGCTTGCGGGGCTTCTCCATCGTGGCCTTCGGCGGGCTCTTCTGGCCCGCCGCCCCCTGGCGCTGACGCGGATGTTCTGCGCTGGATTTCGGTCCAGCACCTTGCTCAGCCCAGGCCGCTTGCTCCTCCAGTGTCTCTTCTTTCTGGGCGGCGCGCCGACGTGTCTCCGCGAGTGTTTGGGGATGGTGTGGGGTCCCCTTCTTCCACTAGCTCCTCTGGCAGCGTGACTCCAGTTCCTGCTGATGAGCTCGCTGATCTGCGACCTCTTGCTGGCCCCCCTGGGGGCCCTGCAGGATCGCTAAGTCCGGTGGAAGCCCCCCGCGCGAGGGAACACCACAGGCTCTCGCTCGCTTTGTGTTGCTGGATTGGCCCTTGAGGAAGCTCCCAGGGAGGGGGGGGGCCTCAGGGGCCTGCGGGCTTCCTGCTGGTCATCGGCATCCTGCGGCGCTTCAGGGGCCTGATCCTGGAGGGGGCGTTGCAGGGCTGGCGGCGGCCTCGAGTTCCGACGAGGCTGCCGATTCTGATCTGGCAGTGGACTGACCCACATTTGACGACATGTTCTCGGGCGACGGAGCAGTCGAGCGCACCCGCGTGGACCTCTGGCGACGAGCCCGCCGATGATGAGATGTTGCTCGGCGACCTCCCGCTGGGCGACAGCGACCGAGAATGCGTCGCGGCGCTCTCCGCTGTCTTGGAGGGCGACGGCACCGTCGACGAGGGGTCGGACCCCGTCTTCATGGACTTGGCCGCTGCCTTGTCCGACTTTGGCGCGCCCCTCGGGGGCGGCGCGCCCTTCCCCGACCACGGCCCGGCCTACAACCTCGTCGTCGCGAAGGAGGCGCGCATGCTTGACAACGATTGTGTCGCCTCCGCGGACGCCGACGCCCCCGCCGTGAGCGGCCCCGCGAGCTGCGCGGCGGGCGCATGCGGGCCCTGAGGAGCCTGGCCCTTCGCCCCAGGGACGCTCGCTCCTCCTCCTCCTCCCCCTCCTACAAGGAAGACGATGAGAAGACGAAAGGAAGGAGGATGAGGATGAGGAGGGGGAGCATGAGGATGAGGGTGGTGATGATGATGATGATGGTGATTCAGATGATGATGGTGATGATGATGCTGATGATGATGATGATGCTGATCATGGCGGCAGTGATGATGGTGATGATGATGGTGATGCAGAGGGGGAGGAGGAGGGGGAGGAGGAGGAGGAGGAGGAGGAGGAGGAGGAAGAAGAGGAGGGACAGGAGGACCAGGAGGACGAGGAAGAAAATCCGCAGCAGCCGCTGGATTCCGGAGGAAACACTGGCTTCGGTGCCGTATCGGTTTAGAGGTTTCTTGCCGGTTGAATGGGCTGTGTCGGTTGAGCATTGCTATGCAGGTTTCCCTGGGCGGTCCCATTGAGCTTGGCAAGGAGAAGGACCCTTCCTCGCGTCGTCCTTCTCCTCCCGCCGCCCTCATCTTCCCTTCTTTGAGCGAGGAGGGAGAGGAGGCATACGAGGAGCGCGTGGCAGCATGAGGCGAGGAGGAGGAGGATAATCGGCAAACGGGTGGGCGAGCAGGAAGGGGGTGGAGGGGGAGGAGAAGGAGGAGGAGGAGGAGGAGGAGGAGGAGGAGGAAGAGGAGGAAGAGGGGGAGGGGGAGGGGGAGGAGGACGGGGAGGTGGAGGAGGAGGAGGAAAGGGAGGAGGAGGAGGAGGAGGAGGAGGAGGAGGAAAAGGAGGGAAGAGCAGGAAAAGGGGGATGTCAGGAGTAGTTAAGCGAGAAGGGGGAGGGGGAATAGCTTCCGTCCCTGCCCACCCTCCCGTGATCATCCCTCTGTTTCTCCCCTTGCCACTCGCTGCGCGGGGGCGGAGCTTACAGCATTGGCACGTCAATGGGCTCCCAACTCTTCTCGAGGTGGACGGGCCCATGTCTTGGGTCGTCGCTCGTGCAGCGAGCTCGAGGCGGGTGTCTTGGTGCAGGGTCGCATCATACCTTTTGGATACTCCATGCATATTTGTCTCTGTTTCCTATCTCCGCCTCGTTCGCCTCGAGGGTCGGACCCCTCTCCAAAAACTTGGTCCAGCAATCATTGTCGAGCCTCGGCCATCCTTCAATCATCTCGGGAAGTGTACGGGAAGCTCGCGAAAATTGGACTGCAGTTCTGGGGGGGGGGATCAGGATTGGCTCTGGTATCTCCTTGGCCCAACCTAGCCTGATCAGTTTTGAATCCGATTTGTTCTCGCTCCCGGTCTTGGGTGAACGTCGGCTTGACACACTCGTGCGCATTTGTGATTAGACCCGGGAGAGGACGAGGTTCAGTCTGAGGATGGAGGAGTAGGAGTAGGAGGAATGAGGACGAGGGGTAGGAGTAGGAGGATGAGGAGGAGGACGAGGAGGAGGACGTCGACGACGACGCCGACGACGTCTTTCTTCCTCGCGCCCCTCCTCGTCGTGACCCCCACTCGCCACCTTGAACGTGCTGTGCTCCCACCAAGATTGTGGACGACGCGTTCGCCAAGGTCACGAAGGATGCGCCGCCCATCGATGCCCCGGTGGTGATCGACGCTCCGCAGGTCACCATGAGGGGAGGGATCGTATACACAGCGTCGTCGTCGAGGTCATCAGACATCGAGGTTCCACGCTTCTGCACTCTTTACGTTGTTCTGCTTCTGGAAGTCTCAGACGACCTCTGGGCCCCCTAGGGGCCTTTCCAGCGACTTATGTGGACCTCTAGAGACCTTCAGAAAGCACCTGATCAAGGTTCTAGGATCGAGACTCGAGGATGGTATTTTGTCGCGCATGGATGCTTTTCGCCCGGGTTGGCTTTGGCCAGGTTCGTGTCGCTTGGTTCGTTTCGCCCTGCAGGTTCGTGTTGGCGCCCAGTTGATTTTCGCTCGGGTTTGCTTTCGCCCGGGTTGGCTTTCGCCCGGGTTGGCTCTCGCCCGTATGGAGTTTCGCCCGGGTTCGCTTTCGCCCGGGTGGGGTTTCGCCCGGGTTTGTTTTCAAACGGGTGGGGTTTCGCCCTCCCTTTCCTCCTCTCCTCTGGCTCTTCTCCTCTTCTGTTGCTGCTGCCCCTCTCCCTCCTCTCCTCCTCCAGTTCCTCCTGCCCGCGGCCGGTTGGCTGGAGCTCCGTTGCGTTCCCGCAGCAGCACTGGAAGTACAACCCCCCGCCTTTTTCCTGGACGGCCTGACCTACACATGCACGCCGCCCTTGCTCAGGCCCCCCTGAGGCCCAGGGTCAGTACGGGAGGACGGGGAGCCCGCCCGTTAGGGTTCACGCGTGCTCGCTCCGGCGTGCCCTACAGTTTAGTGTTCCGCCCGCCCGACCCGACCCGCTTGTTAGGGTTTGCCTGACCCGACCCGACCCGTCCCGCCCGTTAGGATCCGCCCGCCCAACCCGACCCGCCCGTTTGGGTTCACGCGTGCTCGCTCGGGCGTGCACCACACTTAGTGTCCCACCCGCCCGAGCCGACCCGCCCGTTAGGGTCTGCCCGACCCGACCCGACCCGTCCCGCCCGTTAGGGTCCGCCCGCCCGACCCGACCCGCCCGTTCGGGTTCACGCGTGCTCACTCGAACGCGCCCCATACTTTAGTGTCCCACCCGCTCGACCCGATCCGCACGTTAGGGTCTGCCTGACCCGACCCGACCCCCATCCCGCCCGTAGAGTCCGTCCGCCCGACCCGACCCGCCCGTTCGGGCTCACGCGTGCTCACTCGAGCGCCCTCCGCACTCTAGTGCCCCTCCCACCCGACCCGACCCGCCCTTCAGGGTCCGCCCGACCCGACCCGACACGTCCCACTCGTTAGGGTCCGCCCGCCCGACCCGACCCACCCGTTAGAGTTCACGCGTGCTCATTCGAGCGCGCCCCTTTTTACTGTCCCGCCCGCCCAGCCCGACCGGCCCATTAGGGTCTGCCCGACCCGATCCGCTCCGCTTGTTAGGGTCCGCCCGCCCAACACGACCCGCCTGTTCCGATTCACGCGTGCTCAATCGAGCGCGCCCCACACATTAGTGCCCCGCCCGCCCGAGCAGACCCGCCAGTAAGAGTCCGCCCGACCCAACCCGACCCGTCCCGCCCGATAGGGTCCGCCCGCCCGACCCGACCCGCCCGTTCTGGTTCACGCGTGCTCATTCGAGCGCGCCCCACACTTTCGTGCCCCGCCCGCCCGACCCGACCAGCCCGTTAGGGTCTACCGGACCCGACCCGATCCGCTCCGCCCGTTGAGGTCCAACCGCCCGACCCGACTACGCGTGCTCACTCGAGCGCCTCCCTTTTTATTGTCCTGCCCGCCCAGCCCGACCGGCCTGTTAGGGTCTGCCCGACCCGACCCGATCCGGTCCGCCCGTTAGGGTCCGCCTCCCAACTCGACCCGCCCGTTAGGGTTCACGCGCGCTCAATCGGGCGCGCCCCGCACTTTAACAACACCCCGCCCGCCCGAGCCGACCCGCCCGTCAGGGTCCGCCCGACCCAACCCGACCCGTCCCGCCCGCTAGGGTCCGCCCGCCCGACCCGACCCGTCCGTTAGGGTCCGCCCGACCCGACCCGACCCGTCCCACCCGTCAGGGTCCGCCCGCCCGACCCGACCCACCCGTTAGGGTCCGCCCGCCCGACCCGACCCACCCGACCCGCCCGTTAGGGTCCGCCCGACCCGACCCACCCGACCCACCCGACCAGCCCGTTAGGTTCTGCCCGACCCGACCCGATCCGCTCCACCCGTTGAGGTCCACCCGCCCGACCCGACCCGTTTGTTCTGGTTCACGTGTGCTCAATCGGGCGCGCCCCACATTTTAGTGCCCCGCCCGCCCGACCCGACCCGCCCTTTAGGGTCCGCCCGACCCGACCCGACCCGCTCCGCCCTTTTGGGTCCGCTCGCCCGACCCGCCCGTTGGAGCCTGCGCCCAACCCTCGGCGAACCGACCCCGGCGAATCGCAACCCGGCGAAAGCCGACCTCAGCGAAAGCCGACCCCAGCGAAACGAAGCTTGGCGAAACGAAACCCGGTGAAAGCCAACCGCGGCGAAAGGAAACCCGGCGAAGGCCAACCCCGGCGAAAGCCAACCTGGGCAAACAGAAACCCGGCGAAAGCTAACCACGGCGAAAGCAAATCCGGCGAAACGAAGCCCGGCGAAACGAAACCCGACGAAAGTCAAACCCGACGAAAGGCATCCGTGCTTGTTGTCGACGTCGAGAGGCAACGACTTTTGTTTCCAAAACTCCTATGGTCGGGTCCTTGCTTTGGACAAGGCGGTGCTGCTCCTCCCCTTCGTCTCCGGCTTCCCCCACCGCTTGTCGCGCCGATGGCGCTTGTGCCGCCCTTTCGGGGCCCAGGGAGCAGGGCGAGGCCAGGAACGCCCTCCGCCGTCCCGAGCGCTCGCGGGCGGGACGAACTCTGCGTCCACGCTCGTCTCCTCTCCTTCCGCTTCCCGCCTCCTTCCCTCCTCGCTGCCGCCTCCCACCTCCCCTCTTTCTCGCCGCCTCCTTGCTGCCCCTTCGCTTCCTCCTCGTTTCCCTTCCCTGGGCGCTGCCAACTGCGCAGATTACGCCAGTTTCGCGGCACCCTGGGAGGTCGAAGCGAGCGGCCTTCTACGCAATTGCAACAGGGCAACCGTCGGCATTTTCTTGGGCTCCTGGACGGTCTGGCGGATTGGTGCTCCACGCAGATTAACATGGGACCTCGTTTTTTCGGGCGCTGGGAACTGCGCGGCCGTGTCCACTTTCGTGGCTTCCTGGGGGGTCCCACCGAGCGCTGTGCTAGCCGGACCCAGACTAGCTCTCCCCTCCGCAAGGTGTTGCTGCTGCTCGGAGGTCCAATGGTGTGCTTTTCCCATTTAGATGTTGATGGGATCTCGCCGCCTTGGGCGCTGCCGACTGCGCAGCTGTGGGCACTTTCGTGGGATCCAGGAGGTGTCCCGCGCAGATCCAAATCGGACCTGACCTCCTAGGGTGATGCCAACTGCGCAAGTGTCGCCACCTTCGTGGGCTCCTGGGGGTAGCGAGGGGTGGTGCCCTGCGCAGGTCCGGACCTGACCTCGCCTCCGTGCGCGCTGCCAGCTGCGGAACCGCCGCCATTCTCATGGGCTCCTGGGGGTCTAGCGGAATGGTGCGTTGTGCAGATCGAAGCGGCGCCTCGCCTCTCTGGGCGCCGTGGGGTCCTGGGAGGTTCCGCTCGATCTGCCTACCGTGGGCTCCGCAGACTACGCAACCGTCGTGACTTCCGTGACCTCCTGGGGCATTTAGTGGAGCTACGTCTTACGCCTACAAGTGACCTTCCTTCGAGTGGCCTTATCATCTGGCTGTCTTTTCGCGCCTGATGGCGCATATGAAGCGCTCCAGAAAGGGCCTCGCCGTTGAGGATCGCAGGAGTTGCCACCTCGTCCTCGGCGGAAGGCGGCGGAAGCGCGCCGGAAAGCGGCGGAAACAAATCGAGACCGCCTCCGTCGGCGGAGGCCGGCGGGAGTTCACATCGGCCTCCCAAGAGATGGCACGTGCTTTGGGTTCAGGTTTGTTTGAACCGGCATACGTTCCCAATGTAGCTCGCAGAATGGGCGACGTGCCGTTTCAAATGTTCGTTCGTCTTGCGGCGGTGCAGGCCTCAGCTGCTGGAGTGCAGGCGCCAGCTGCAGCTGCTGGCGGGCAGGCCCCGGCTGCCCGTGGCTCAGATGGGCCCCTATCCGCTGGGCCGTATGGATCAGTGTGGAGCGGATCAGGACGGCGCGTGCTCTGTAGAAGGTTCGTCCAGCATGCTGGAAATATGCAGCGAGCTTCGGAGGCATCTGACATCAGTTTCACATTCAATTTGAAGGGTGCTACAAGGTCTCTGGTAAGTCAGCCGCTGGGGCTGTACCGATTGTATAGTATTCCAGCGGAGGCAGGCAGTTTTTCTTCTGGGCTGGGAAGTTACTCAGCGAAATGAGGTCAGTCGTCCTCTTTGATTTGTTCGCAGCAGAGTGGGAGTGGTGTTTCGAGTTCTTGCTCCAAACGGTTGCAGCGTGATGGCAGCGGCGGGTAGAGGTCCGCAGACTGCGTATGCCTTATCGGAACAGGAGCAGCAATGGGGGAGGGATGGAGGATGGAGGGTTGGGGAAGGAGAAGGAGACAGCACAGGTTTTGAGGTTCTCGGGTGGGTGTTGGAAATGTTGGTGGTCTTTTTTTTCCCGACCATCCTGTGGTGTTGGGTCCTCGTTTTGAAGAGACGGTGGCCCGCGTCTCCTCTCATACTCTCCTCCTCCTCCCCTCCTCGCCCATTTCGGTACACCCCTCACACGGTTTCGTGGCCCCATAGGGAGCTCCACCGAAGGCCCCAGTGGCCGCGTTCGCATGGCGGCCTCGGGCCATTTCGACACACCCCTCACGAGGATCGTGGCCCCATAGGGAGCTCCACCGAAGGCCCCAGTGGCCGCGTTCGCATGGCGGCCTCGGGCCATTTCGGCACACCCCTCACGAGGATCGTGGTCCCATAGGGAGCTCCACCGAAGGCCCCAGTGGCCGCGTTCGCATGGCGGCCTCGGGCCATTTCGGCACACCCCTCACGAGGATCGTGGCCCCATCGGGAGCTCCACCGAAGGCCCCAGTGGCCGCGTTCGCATGGCGGCCTCGGGCCATTTCGGCACACCCCTCACGAGGATCGTGGCCCCATAGGGAGCTCCACCGAAGGCCCCAGTGGCCGCGTTCGCATGGCGGCCTCGGGCCATTTCGGCACACCCCTCACGAGGATCGTGGCCCCATAGGGAGCTCCACCGAAGGCCCCAGTGGCAGCGTTCGCATGGCGGCCTCGGGCCATTTCGGCACACCCCTCACGAGGATCGTGGCCCCATAGGGAGCTCCACCGAAGGCCCCAGTGGCAGGGTTCGCATGGCGGCCTCGGGCCATTTCGGCACACCCCTCACGAGGATCGTGGCCCCATAGGGAGCTCCACCGAAGGCCCCAGTGGCAGGGTTCGCATGGCGGCCTCGGGCCATTTCGGCACACCCCTCACGAGGATCGTGGCCCCATAGGGAGCTCCACCGAAGGCCCCAGTGGCAGGGTTCGCATGGCGGCCTCGGGCCATCGTTTCGGCCCCACACCCCTCATCTCGGGCCCCCATTTCGGCACACCCCTCACGAGGATCGTGGCCCCATAGGGAGCTCCACCGAAGGCCCCAGCGGCAGCCTCCCTCATGGCTCTCAGAGCCCTCTCCTGCTTCTGCTCCTCGGTCAGGGGGACGCCGTCCTCGTCGTCGTCGGCGCCCGCGAAGACGGCCACGAACGTGCCCCTGAACATGTCGGGCTCGGGCGGGAAGTTGTGGCCGCATCGGGAGCGCGGGCGAAGATGTTATTCGCAAGTGCGGTAGTCACAACTGCGCATGGTTGGGTCTTTCGCCAGGCTAATTTCCTTTGACGGGGGGCTCCCGGAAGCTTGACTCTGTCAACGCAGCAGCGCGTATAATTGCCGGCATGCTTGCCCCACAGTTGAACCATCGTGTCCGCTCCGATCTTCCCCCTCCAACAAAGAAAAGACTCCGTCAGCGCATAGGCCCCAGGGCTCTCGGCCCCGTCCCGTCGGGCCACAGGAGTCCAGAACTGCAGCGCGGGCCCTTCGTGACCCTCTCTCGCCCAGCCGGGCGGTCTGGGACCTCAGCGCTAAAGCTGAACCCCCCGGGCTGACCCCCCTGGGCCTGTCCTTCGGAGGAGCGCAAACATGGAGCAAGTTAGGCGTGTGGATTCGCGACGTGCGCCGCTTCCGCGCAGAATCGGCGCGCGCCGTCGCCAACTCAGGCGGCTCTGGCCTCGTGTTTCGGGTGCACCTTCCCCGAATCGATCCGTGGATCTGGTGCCCACGCGACAGATTCACGGATCAGTGATCCGCGTAGCGTGTGCCCGAGCCCTGGCGTGCGTTTGGGCCAGGCTTTCGAGACGGGCCCGGCCGTGGCGGCGAGAGCGCTCCGCGGGCTCAGAGATGCCAGCAACACCCAAAAGCACTGATCCTCCATCCTCGGACCTCGGGCCTCGAGGGGCGGGCGCGAAGCGATCGACCGCGGCGGGACCTCCCAGGCCGCCGGGCAGCTGCCGGCCATGGGAGGCATGATGCCCGCCATGGGCGCAGGCGGTGCTGCCGTCGGCGCCGCGGGCAGCGCGACGATGCCCGGCATGGCGGGCGGGATGATGCCAGGCTATGGCAGCTCCAATGCCCTTGCGGCCGCCTCGACGCAGACGAGACTTCTCGGCATGAGGCTCTTGTGTTCTTCGGGGCCCTCGCGGGCATGGCTGGACGCAGCTCAGCTGGGGAGGGGCTGGGGATGGATTCTGGGCAAACGTTACTCTCGGCAGGTTCACGCCGCCTCGACGCGAAGGCGACGCCAGCGCAGGCGTTCAAGGCCGAAGGCCCTCCGCGGCGCCTGCACAGGAGGTGCATCAAATCTGACATCGGCCTGCCAGCGGGTGCTCCACGAGCATTTCTTCTCCCCCAGTGGTTCCAGGGCCCCACAGAAGCTCTGCGGCTCCCTGGGACCCTCAAAGATCGACGACGGATGTGCCCCATCCTTTCGTACATCAGCATTTCTGATCGTATGTGCCCATGCGTGTCAGGATCCCCTGGCCGACGAACGGCCGCCGGTGGCACGATATCCGCGCAAGCGGTGAGGTCGAGAGCCTCTGGGGACCGAGCGCGGAGACAGTTCAAGGTTGAGCGGGCTTCGCGGTGTAAGGCACCAGGGTCGACACGCCGTCGGGACGAAGGCACGATGTCTAAGATCCGAAGGAGGAGGCAGGTTCGCGCTCAAAGCGTCTGCTGAGAGGAAGGCAGCGCCCGGCGCCCTGCTGGCGGGGGAGGCCTTGAAGATTCTTAGTTCCAGCATGTAATTCTATTTCGGGAGTCGGGCATCGACAGGTAAGCAAACCACAATTCCTGACCAGGTCCAGCCCCCCAGGAAGAGCGCAGGGAATGGGCAGACCCGCCCCTGAAGGGGAAGAGTGGGGCTGCCTTGGGATACCCGACATGCTAAACCACCCTCGTCAAGAGAGCCGGTGGGATCCTGTTCGAAGCCATGAACCTCAGTGCAGGCATTACGGTCAGGAATTTTGGCCTAGCGTGTCGCCCCGCCGTTTCTGGCACACCGCGCTTCGGCGCGACACGCTAGCCACTTCCGAATTCCCGGGCGTCAGCGTCCCGAGCTTTCCTGAGACTCCCGTCCCGCGGAGCGGAGCGACCTGTTACCAGCTTGCAAGGCTGCAGCGTGTCGTCAAGGCCGCCGCCGCGACACGCTAAGCAACAAAGTCCGACCGTGTTTGCGCATGCTATGCGTACCAAGTCGAAGAAGAACAATTGCATAAACATAAACTTTCGACGGTCCGCGCGGATTTCTTGGATCGGCGTTCGGCGGCGCGCTCCGCGCGCCAGGGAGGGGGCCTGGCGCCGATCTAGGACATCCGCGCGGAGCTTCGACAGTTGATGTTTATGTTGGTGTTCTTCCTCTAAGGATAAGGCAAGATCCCCCAGGCATGGGCGGCATGCCCGGCATGCCTGGCATGGGGGTGGGCGGCGACCCCTTCGGCGGCACCTCTGGCGTCGCCGCGCTGGCCATGCAGGGCTCGGCCGTGCTCATGGAGCTCGGCGTCAGCATCCAGCAGGCCGCAGGGGCTGACGTGTCTTGTGGGCCCAGCTTGAGACCCAGCATACCGTCTGCGCCCGGTTGGGGCATACGAGAGAGGGCCTCGTGGGGCCAGCTTGAGACCCAGCATACCATCTGCGTCGAAGCAGGAATAACGGCACATACATGAATTTTCGGGGCTGCGCGTGGATTTGTTGGATCGGCCTTGGGGCCCTCCTGGCGACGCCTCCGGCGCCGCCCTTGGCGCGCTCTGCGCGCCAAGAATCCTGGGGGAGGTCCAAACGTTTCTGTTTATGTCGTCTCGTGTTCCCCTTAGCACACCGTCTGCGCCCGTCTGGGGCATTAGAGAGGGCCTCGTCCTCGACGGACCAGAGGCTTGACATCTCCCCGTCTGCGGAGACCGGGGGACGGCCGACGGAAGTACACACATAAGATGTATTAAGAAAGCAGCTTCCGGATCAGAGTCTGATATGTCTTATCATACAAGAGAACATCTGGATTCCAGGATAGAATGGGGGACGGCACCGACGTCAAACATGTTGTCTGAGTTAGTTATGTCATGCTCGCGCAGTTTTTCTCCTATATTTTATCATCGAGTTTCCAGACCTTGGCCGCTCTTCAAGAAAGCGAGACTTGCAGAGCCTGTTTATTGAATCGCTTCGCTCATTCCGCCGGCCCGTGATATGGCATCGCTGGTTTTTGTCTGTGTGTTCGTTGCCCATGTTGCGCTCTTGGGGGCGGGTGTCGTTCGGACGCGTTGCGTGGGGAGTTTTGATGGTGAAGCAGTTCCCTGGGGGTCGTCTCTCGATGGGGCGAAATAGAGTCGTCGTCAAGATGCTTCTTTGGGGGGCCTCTTGGGGTCTGTTGAGAGGCCGTTCGGGGGCGCCTGGGAGACATGTTTGAAGCCTTCTGGGGCTTCTTTTGGGCCTCCTGGGAGTCTCCTGGGGCCTCTTGGCGACATCTTGGGGCCTCTTGGAGGCCTCTTGGGGCCTCTTTGGGACCTCCTGGGCGCCTTCTGGGACGGAGGGCTCCATTTTTGAGTTCTCGGTATCCCTCCTGAGTCCCTCTTGGGCCCGTCTTGGGGCCTCTTGGTCCGTCTTGGGCGGCACTTGGGCCGTCTTGAGGGCTCTCTTGGGTCGTTTCGGCGCCGTCTTGGGAGCTTCGTGGGCCGTCTTGGAGCGGTCTTGGGGGCCTCTTGGGCCGTCTTGGAGCGTCCGGAAGCCGAAAAAGCCAGAACACAAAAAACATCGAAAAACCAATGAAAATCAACGATTTTGGCCTCTTGGGGCTCTCTTCGGAGGCCTCTTGGAAGGCTCTTGGGGCGTCTTGGAGGCCTCTTGGGCTGTCTTGGGGGCCTTTTGGGCCGTCTTGGGGTCATCTTCGGCGTCTTCGAGCGCTCTTTGGGCGTCTCGGGGGCCTCTTGGGCAGTCTTGGGGGCCTCTTGGGGCACTCTGAGCGCGCTCTGGGGAGCCTGAGAGGCCGCACCCAGAAGGAAAACCATCTCTGAGTAGACTTGGTCGGGCGGCGGTCGGGCGGCGGTCGGGCGGCGGTCGGGCGGCGACCGGGCGGCGACCGGGCGTTGGTCGGGGTACTTTTCGCCGGGGGACCCCCAGGGGCCGCCCCGCGCGCGCGAACTAGAAATACTGTTCATACTGTTAACCAGTTACCGGAGATCTTAGCACGCCCTGGCCCGTTGGGCCGGCGAATTTTAGAGTGGATCTTCCTGAGTCACCAATTGCAGTGCAGAGGCTCTACACTGCAATTCGCGAGGGCGATTTTGCTGGCGGGCGCCTGCGGAAGTTCGGCGGAGGCCGGCGGAAGAACAGGCAGCCCTCTGCCCCCCCCCACCCCTCCTTGGACTCCACATTGATCCGCCGCCTCGGCTTTCGACACTTCCCCCCCCTCGCAGATGTCCGGCACATCTGCCCAACGCACTTTCACTGACAGTTTGTCCGGACTTTCTTCTCTCTTGACTCTGAGTGCGCCCCTGTCAATGGTTTTCGTAAGTTACAAAGACGACGACACTTCAGTGCTTGATGTTGCGAACGCTTTGGTGCTATGCTGCCCCGTCTGCGCTACTCCCGGAAGGTCGTAAAGTTGTCGCACGACATCCTCAAGATTTGCGTCAAGGACTCAGCATCTAAGTTGTGGTTCCGCACTCCTGCCGGGCAATCTGCTGCAGGTAGGTACCCGTTTGGCAGAGGGACGGTGGGACCGAGTGCAGCCATGGTTGGGTTCGATGCGTTCTTTTCGGAGCGCGTCTGGCACTTGGCGCGTGGCAGAGTGTATAGAGTAGAGCTTTGGCACAGAAGAGTTGATGCTTTGCTTTTGTGGTTGGGTGTGGGGCGGGGTGGGTGGGTGGGGTGGGGGCGAAGACTGCCGTTGAAATCTCAGAGGATCGAGAACCAGAGCCAGAGGATGGACATACCAGTGACCTCACAGCGCGGTGGTGCAGAGTTTCTGATTTCGTGTGGTGTCTCATTACTGTGCCATGTTCCCATTAGCAGAGCATCAGGACGACGTGAAGAGCGCCTTCAAGTTGGCATCAGACCACATGCACAACCTCAGTTACATGGGTGGCCACATCATGGCAAACGGCGCCGACATATTGAACCAGCTTGCCGACGGCGTGATTGCATTCCAGGACGGGGCGGAAGAACGGATTCAGGATCGGCAGGAGGAGGAGGAGGCGGGGAGGGAGGATGAGGAGGGAGAGGAGGAGGAGGAGAAGGAGGAGGAGGAGGAGGATTAATAATAATACGAAGATGAATACTAATAATAATGATAAGACGAATAAGCACAATACTAGTAGTAAGAACAATATGCCGAAGAAGAAGAGGAGGAGGAGGAGGAGGAGGAGGAGGAGAGAGAGAGAGAGAGCGAGAGAGGAGGATCGGGTGCAGCGGCTCAGAGGGAGCAGGTGGACTAGTTGTCTCACGCCACTCGACGGCACAGCGCAGGCGGTTTCGGGGTAGGGGCATCCCTGGAGGGGTCGGTAGCCGTATTGATTCAAGGAAGGCGCCCGACGAGTCGAGGATCCGAACAATCGAATCGTGATGGCTTTGGCCTCGTCGTTGCGTTGTTTCGGCCAGCGCTCGGTGCAGGTTTTCAACGCCCGTCGTATTCCGCTCCCCTTACGTACACCGTTCTGGGGTGTACGGTAATTTCGTGCTGCCTCGACGCAGCAGAAGCGCGGGCGAGGGCGTTCAAATTGGAAGGCCCAGACAGCCTTTGACGATCCTGGCGCTCGCTGAAGACTGAACCGCTCACGCGGATGAGAGCGATCGCCGTAGTAGCAGTCGGCTCTACCGTCGCCTGGGTCGTCGTGTGGTGCTCCGCACCTGCGCAAGCCTTGCCTCGTGATTCCATTATTACAGGCCCCAGCCAGCGGATCCCCCCCGGGAGTGGCCGTTGTCTTCGAGAGGGTGCCATCCTTGGGGGAGCTGCCCTGTTTGAACGATGGCGGGGGAGTCTACCCGCTCCCGACCACAGAGCGTCGGGCGAAGCAGACCCTGCGCTCGGAGCGGGAGGAGGGCAGCGGAGGAGTGCCAGGGGCCCCCCTGCTCGAGTCCGAGCCTCCCTGGGCCTGCCGGGCCCCTCCTTGTAGATGCTCGTTCTGGCGACCCTCCTGGGGCCCACCTGACGGATCTGTTCGACTCCAGCTCGACTCTAGCTCGACTTACGGTCGACGTACGTTCGGCGCAAGCTCGACTGAAGTGGACGGACGTCCGGACGAACGTCCGACGATGCATCGACGCATGTGTGGAGCGCGTGGTTGCAGGAAGGCTGCCAGAACGAGCATCCAACTCCCTCTCCGCGGCCGTGGAGGGCCATCAGTACACGGAGTTCGGAAACCACGTCGGAGAGGCCATGCGCAAGATCGCCCTGTCGAACAACACCAACAGGACGTTGCCAGAGGGGCAGGCGGGGCAGCTTGTGTTGTCGAACCTGTCGGCTGGTCTCATCGACGGCTTCTTCGGGGAGGGCTTCCTGCTCGACGTGTCGATGCCGCGCGGCTCCGCCATGCATGTTGACCTGCACGAATGCATGGCGAACAACCTCGTGTTCTTTCAGTCCTTGTGGTCTGACGCAGCGGCCGCAGCGGGGCCTGGCCTTCAAGTACAGCGGGGAAGAGAAGAGGAGGAGGGGGACAAGCAGGAGGAGGGGGAGGATGGGAATGAGGAATCTGCTTCCCAGCGATCGTCCAGGCAATCGCGGGCTCGCGGGCGGGGTCGCGGCTGCATGGTCTTGTGTAATGGGCCGCGGCCGCGCGGCGCACCGAGGCCATGTTCTGGTTCGCTAAGAAGAGCCAGGAGCACAAGGACGTCCTGAGGGAGGCGAACGTTTCAGAGGGGGATGAGACCGCAGACGAAGTCTTGGAGGGACAGCACCACAAGGAGAAGGCGGAGTTCGGCACGGCCATGGCGCTGACCATGATGCAGATGCCCTCCGCCCTGCGCCGTTGCAATATCTCCAAGGATGACCACGGTCCCCGTGTAGTGTGTCGGGAGCCATGGGAAGGCACGGGCGTGATGCGCGATGTCATGATAACATGCGCCAGCGCTAAAACTAATAAGGTGCTGGACTCGATGGTGCTCCTGTTGAGCTGTCTCAGAAGCTCTAGATCCACCTAAGCCTTCCCCGACAGAGCAATGCGACTCCTTCTCTTCCCTAGACGCCCAGCTGCCCAATGTGTTTCTGATGTGGGCCCCTGGACCATCCGACCCCTTTCCCAGGAAGCCTGTTCAACCTGCGGTCGGGAACTTTTGCTTAACGTGTCGCGCCGTCGGTTCTGGCCCACCGCACCTCGGCGCTACACGCTAACCGTTTCCCGATTCCCGAGCTTTCCCTATCCTCCCGTCCCGCGGAGCGCTATCAGCTTGCACAGCATAGCGCGTCGCTGGGGCCGCCGCCGCGACGCGCCAAGCAAACGTGACCGTAAGTCGTTGTTGAATGGTCTAGCCTCTAGAGACACAGCACGGACAGCGAAACGTCGCCTCGTTTTGTGTGCGCCGTTGGACGTCAGGTGTGCTGCCGTGCATGTCCGCCACCGCGCTGTCGGGTGTGCTGGAGAGGGGGAGGTCAGCATCGTCTAACCGATGCTCATCCCCACTGGGCCATGCTATCTCATTCCCGCCAACCCACCCCCTCAAGGTGGGGATATGTCCCGCGAAACCTCGATGCAACAGCATACATCCCCACCCAGAGTGGGGTTTGGGATCGTTTAAACGATGCTCAGGAGGGGGTGGATGAGGATCGTGGTTCGACGTTCGATGCCCGAGGTTTTTGATTCGTTTTTCCCCACATGTTTTGCGGGGAACTGGTTTTCTTCTCTGCCGCGTCGCACCCGCGTCTCCCGCACACACACACACACACACTCACACACACACACCTTATATACACACACACACACACACGCACGCACGCACGCACGCACGCACGCACGCACGCACGCACGCACGCACGCACGCACGCACGCACGCGCACACGCACACGCACACGCACACGCACACGCACACACGCACACACATGAGGCACACGCCCCGATATGGCCGCACACGCATCATCCACATACACATGACATGCCATATGCAAGACGTGCGTGCAGGATCCGCAGTGCGTGACAGGCGTGGGTCGGAGAGCGTGGCAGGCGTGGTACTTTCTCGACACCAGAGGGAGTGCGCAGGGGATGGTTTTTCAGCGCGGCCTCTATGCGTGCCAGGTTCCAAGAGCGCGGCAGGCTTGGCACCTTCTCGACACCAGAGGAGGTGCGCAGGGGCGGTGGTCTCTCAACGCGGCCTCTATGCGTGCCAGGGTTGGAGAGCGTGGCAGGCGTGGCACTTTCTCGACGCCACAGGGGGTGCGCAGGGGGTGGGCTCTCAGCGCGGCCTCTATGCGTGCCAGGGTCGGAGAGCGTGGCAGGCGTGGCACTTTCTCGTCGCCACAGGGGGTGCGCAGGGGGTGGTCTGTCAGCGCGGCCTTTATGCGTGCCAGGGTCGGAAAGCGTGGCAGACGTTGTATTTTCTCGACACCAGAAAGGGGGTGCGCAGGGGGTGGTCTCTCAGCGCGGCCTCCATGCGTGCCAGGGTCGGAGAACGCGGCAGGCGTGCCATTTTCTCGACACCAGAGGGGGTGCGCAGGGGGTGGTCTCTCAGCGCCGCCCCTATGCGTGCCAGGGTCCGAGAGCGTGGAAGGCGTGGTACTTTCTCGACGCCACAGGGGGTGCGCAGGGGGTGGTCTCTCAGCGCGGCCTCTATGCTTGCCAGGGTCGGAAAGCTTGGCAGACTCTGGTTGGTCTCTCAGCGCGGCCTCCATGCGTGCCAGGGTCGGAGAACGCGGCAAGCGTGCCAGTTTCTCAACACCAGAGGGGGTGCGCAGGGGGTGGTCTCTCAGCGCGGCCTCCATGCGTGCCAGGGTCGGAGAACGCGGCAAGCGTGCCAGTTTCTCAACACCAGAGGGGGTGCGCAGGGGGTGGTCTCTCAGCGCGGCCTCCATGCGTGCCAGGGTCGGAGAACGCGGCAAGCGTGCCAGTTTCTCAACACCAGAGGGGGTGCGCAGGGGGTGGTCTCTCAGCGCGGCCTCTATGCGTGCCAGGGTCGGAGAGCGTGGAAGGCGTGTCACTTTCTCGACACCAGAGGGGGCGTGCATGGGGGTGGTCCTATGCGTGGCAGGGGCAACTCGGAGGGTGCGCAGGGGGTGGTCTCTCAGCGCGGCCCCATATGCGTGCCATGGCGGGAAAGCGCGGCATGCGTGGTGGCAGCCGGAACCGTAGACAACCTGGCCCGAACCTGCTTGAATATTGCAGGTGCTGCTTTGCCCCCCGCGCCGCTCGTGCCGCCCAAATGTCCCATTGAGCACTGCCGCCTCCGCGTTTGAATCTGAAGAAGTGCATGGCAGACGCAGGTGTCGAGGTTAGCATTATCAATTTGCGCAGTTGCGAGGCAGCTTTGGTCAAACACGCATTTAATTCTTACCACCGACAGCTGAATAATTGGAGGCCTGATACGCTTCTTATCAGGTGCGATGATCTGCTCCATCAAGGAGGGGGCGACGATACCAGGAGGTAGTGCTTGGTGAGGTACCTGCTGAACCCTTCCTCCAGCGGGTTCCCCGCTGATCAGCCGGGGGAGTCGGAAGAGGACGATGGCTCGCCGCTGGTGGAAGTTCGGCGAGTCGGCGATGTCGGCAACGGGGGCGTTTCCACGCCCGCGCAGGTCACGCCCATCGAGTCCACGCCCGTCAAGTCCACGCCCGCGCAGGCCTTCACCCCTCAGCGTTCCCCAGCGATTGCTTGCTACCTCTGTTCGTTTCACGCGCGGTCCTTGGCGGTTGCAGGTCGTGGTTTCTGAGCGCGGCCGCTATCCGAGCCGGTCGGTCACGGCGTAGCAGGCGTGGCGTATTTTCGTAACCTCAAGGGGTCCGCAGGCGGTGGTCTTTGAGCGCGGCCGCTATCCGAGCCGGTCGCCCAGGGCGTTGCAGGCGCGGCGCTTTCTCGACGCCGTAGGGGGTGCGCAGGGAGCGGCCGCCAACATCATTGCTACATGCTTCACAGCAACTATCACCACTCCAGCCATAATATTAGTCTGCGGGGTTCCTCGGTTACTTCTCTGCGTCCCCCAGGAGGCTTCTGGAGACCGCAAGGACAGGGACGCGGGGAAGAAGGGAGGGGGGGGGGCGCCAGACTCAGGGGTTCATGGACCCCGCTACCATTTTGTTTGGTTCAGGCCAGCATGTCGTGACATGATGACTAAAGCGGTGGATTTTTGCTGCAGACTGTGGCAGCGTGTTGTTTTCTGTGGGTTGAAGGGCCCCAAGCGAGGCACTGGCACACGAAGAGTAAGATCGATATAGAGACGATAACACAGCCTGGTGTAACTAAGACACTGTACACATCAGTGCGTATGACCCCCGGAGACAGTGGATAATCAAATATCGTGTCGACGCTTCGCGCACCACCACTCGCCGATCCAGAAACGATGCCGGTTGGGCCCGACGCCGTGGCCGCGGCAAATCTCGTGCGGCCGGCCTTGTCGTTCCAGAGCCGGCCTGCCCCTGCCCTGGGCTGCGCGCTCCAGGGTCAGCTTTTCCTCCTCCGCCTTCTCCTCCTCCGCCTCCTTTCCCCCCTCCTCCTCGTAGTCCTTTTTCCCCCTCCCCCTCCCCCCTCCCTCGCTCCTCGTCCCTTCCCCCTGTCCGTTCCTTCGCGTCTCCCTCTTTTCCTCTCTCCCATCTTTCCTTTTCTTCCTCCGGGAAAGAGGGAAGAAGGACACCGGGAGGGGAAGGGGGAGGTATAATTAGGAAAGAATCGTGAAGACGAGCTAAGACGAGAGTGGAAAAGTTGGGAGAACGGAGCGGGTGGAGTGGAAGGTGCCAGGGACGACCTAACTCATCGCGAAGGCCGCCACCGAAGTTCACTACGCATTTCACGCACAGGTGCATCGCTCGAAAGCTGGAGCATGCCCGCCTGTCCCGACAGGAGCAGGAGGAGGCGTTCGTTGATGCAATGAAGACATTTGGCGACGGCCTGAACATGCGCCTGACGATGCCAGGGGAGGCCGGTATCAAGAGCCAGGCGGCGGACAACCTCGCGCAGGCAGTCAAGGCTCGCTGGGGGCGGCCGCAGATGAGCACGGCCTCGTAACGAGTAGTGCTCGTGGAGCGCATTCGTTCCTTGCCCTTTTTGTCCAGTGCGTTCTCGAATTGCCGTGGATCCGCCGACCCCATCGAATCGCAAGATGATGCCCCGTTTTCCATTGTTGGCCATCACGTCAGGGTGGCGCCAACGCCCTCTGATGAACGCATCGCGACTTGGTCTTTCACTCTCTTTATGCTTGTTTACCTCCTATCGTTATCACATATATTTGTGTATATCCGTCTCGGTCTTCCTCCCCCTCCTTGGTCGTCTCTTTCGCCCTCTGCTCTCCGTCATCTTCCTCCTCCGCACGCAAAGCGTTCTGTTATTATGATTATCGCCCAGGCCTCCTGTGATGTCGGGTCTTGATTTCCGCAGCGCTGCGCGTCGCCTCACCTCCTCCGCTTCCTCCCCTCCCTGTCGCTACAATCCGAATTTCCATTTCCGCACACCCCTCGCAAATTTCATGCCCCACAGCGAGCTCCACCTGCGGCCCCATAGACAGGGTTCGAATAGCCTCACTTCGCCCATGTCGGCACACTTCTCACACTTCAGGGAGCTCCGCCTACGGCCTCATAGACAGGGTTCGCATAGCGTCGCCCCCCCCTGCATTTCGGCGAATTCATCATCCGTTTCGCGCCTCATTAGGAGCTGCAGCTACGGCCCCACAGACAGGGTACGCATAACGTCCCCCCACCCATTGCGGCATTCCCTCACGCACGTTTCGTGCCCCACAGGGAGCTCCACTTACGGCCCCGGAGGCAAGGTTCGCATAGCGTTGCCCCGCCCATGCCGGCGCATTTTTTCACTTTCGCCTACAGGGGTTTCAGCTTCCCTGGCAGCCGCCGCCAGCACCCCTCCACTCGCCGGCCTGGCCGCCGAGGTGCCGCGTGAGGCTCCGACCCACCACTTTAGGCTAATTCGTCTTTGCGCGGCCCGCTCTGACTCGACTCGCCGCTGGCGCTCTCGCCTGCGGTCGGTGACAAAAATTACAGGGGTTTCAATTACGGCCGCCAGTTGCGACGCTGCCCTCACGCGGATCGTACCCCGCAGGGAGCCCCACCTATGGTGCCGGTGGGCAAGTTGGCATGGCGTCCCTCTACCAACTGCGGCGCACCCCTAACACGGATCGTGCCCCACAGGCACCTGCACCTACGGCTATCTCGGGAGGGTTCGCAGAATGCCCCTCCGCCCACTGCGGCGCAGCCCTCACGAGGATCGTGCCCCACAGGGAGCTCCTCCTGCGGCCTCAGAGGGCGCGTTCGCGTGAGGGGCTCCGCCGATTTCGGCCCTCCTTCCGCGGATCGCGCAGCGCACGAAGTTCAGTTCGCCTCTGCGCCCTTGCTCCGCAGCCACTCTTCCGCACTGCCCCGCGGCGCGCAATGTATGAAAAGATGGGGCACGCACTGCGCTACGCGCATCTGTGTTGGGTTGGCCGGTTCGCCAGGCTATGCTCTGCTTTCTTCCCAAGAGATGCTCGAATAGCTTGAGGACCTCGCCTCGTCCTCCTCCTCCTGCCCCCCCGTCGGCCGATTGCAGCCTCCCAGCGTCTGAGTCGATCCTTCTTTAAACAACTCAGACTGGCGGCCCCAATTCACCCTCTTCAAGCAACGTTCACCCCCTGCTGTCCGCCCTCCGCTCTCTGCCCTGTCCTCCTGCTCCTGCATCTGATCGCGCCCATGATGCATCCTCCTGCGCCCTCCGACCTCTGCCCTCATGTCTAACGATCCGAGCCGCTTGAAGCGAAGCGTTGCTATAATCACCCAGCGCCTTAATAAGAACTGATGTGGCTGCTTATGTCGCTCCCTCTCCTCATCCCTCCTCGCTCAGCTTCGCCTCGATGTCTTCCTCCCGATGCCGATGTCAGCTATGCTGCCGCCGCTGCTCCTGCTCCTGTTGCTACCACTCGTCGTCGTCCGCCTCTCGTCATCATTCAACTCTGTTTCCTCGTCCTCCGCCTCTCTTCACCGTCTGGTCGCACTTGGCTTTCTGCTCGTCGTTTTGGTCGTCCTCTTCCTCACCTCACCTCTGTCTCTCTTTCTCTCCCTGCTCCTCCTCAGCCTGCGCTGGGAGCTCCTGGTCATCCTCCAGACGAGCCAGACCAGGAAAACCACCCGCACCAGGCAGGGCAGCCAAACTAATGTGATCACCTAGGTTCACCGTTCACACCAGAAGAGCCGGCCCAGAGGATCCAGACCGAGTGAACAGAATTGGAAGGCCGAGGATGCCAGTCACGAGCCACAGCCCTCGCAGTGCGCGAGGGGCTGCTCCCCGCTCTCAGTCCTTGCTCGCTTGCGCGCGCCCGCTCCCGTGCAGCTGAACTCTGCGCAGGGCTGTTCCGGTTGAGCGGCGCACCGTGACAGGCGATTCCGTCGCTTGAGAAAACAATAGCGGCTTTGATATCACATCATGGTTGCCTAGTATACCCTCGCACTTCTGTATTTAGTGTGCACTCGAGTCGACTAGGGTCAGGTAATCGATGCGATGCGCCGATTTGGCGTCGACTAGCGTCGATGAGCGGCGATTTCGCGTCGGGGAGCATCAATTAGTGTCGACTCGCAAGAGCCAAAGAAATGGTATGGGAGGCTCCCATGAGCTGCGACCGAAGACGGTGCGTGGATTACGTCCCAGACTTTCACTCGCACCGTCCCGAGACCGCCGCTGCCGCGGGTCTTCTGGCCAGGACTGGACGGACATGAAGTGGTACAGTTTCGGCAACGATCTCGGGAAGGTGTTCCAGGAGATGGCGACTCGGGGGAAGCGAAGTATCCACCGCCCCCACCTAGCCTCCAACCCATTATTTTTCGTAACCCTCCGTTGTTGGGTTCTCGCTTTGTTCAATTTCTGTGCTTGCGTTTCCTTCTTCATCCTTCCCGCCTCCCTTCTTGCCTCTCTCTCTCTCTCTCTCCTCTTGTCTTGTACCTCTCTCGTACCTGCCTCCGACCTTGCCACCACTGGGGGGCTGCGCTCTGCGAACATGTCGCCACGGTCAAGGGCTGTTGGGTGGGCCAGCACAGTGGGTCATACGCAGATTCGGATTAGACCTCGCCATCCCTGGGGGGCTGCGATCTGCGAAGCTGTTACCACTTTCGAGGGCTTCTGCTGGGGGGGAGGGCAGCACAGTGAAACCCAGACTTAGATTTGACCTCGTCACCCCTCCGATCTGCGAAACGGTCGCCACTTTCGAGAGCTGCTGGCGGGGGGGAGGGGCAGCACAGTGGGGTCCCACCCAGATTCATATTAGACCCCGTCACCCCTGAGGGGCTGCGATCTGCGAAACTGTCGCCACTGTCGAGGGCTGCTGCTGGGGGGGGCAGCACAGGCAGCACAGTGGGGCCAGACCCAGACTCAGACCAGACCTCGCCACCCCTGGCGGGCTGCGATCTGCGACTTTGTCGCCACTTTCGAGGGTTTCCGGGGGGGCAGCATAGTGGGGGCCGTATCCAGATTCAGATTTGACCTCGCCACCCTTGGTGGGCGACGATCTGCGAAACGGTTGCCAGTTTCGAGGGGTTGCTGCCCCCCTGCTGATGTTTCAAGCTCTCCATCGGCCGTCTCCCCATGTGTCCTTGCTTATCTTCCCCCTAGACCCAGGGAACTAGCGAATCACCTTCATCGAGCCCTTGTCCATCGATCGATGTCTCGCGAGTCGCGCAGCTCGCGAGCCCCCCAAGTAACGTTCACAGAACGCCTACCCCTTTGCAACGCGTTGCGCAAGGGTTGGGTACATCGTTAGGATATGTTTGCCAACCCTCCTGTGTTGGGTTCTCGTTCTGCACTGCGGTCGCGATATTTTTCTCATCCCGCCTCCCTTATCCTCTCTTCCCTCCTCCTCTCCACTCCTGTTCTTTCCCTCCCATCCCTCCTCTCTTGCGTTGGGCTCTCGTTTTGAAGAGGCAGGGTGGACGCGTCTCCTTCCTACCTTCCCGCCTCCCTCCTCTCGTCTCCTTTCCTCTCCTGGTTTATACTTGGATTGCCCCTGCCTGCGCTCTCCACCTCCTTCACCCGCCTCCCTTCTCCTCCCCTCCCTCCTCCTATGTCTATCCTCTTTCATTCCCTCGCTGTCTTGGTCTCCTGTGAGGCAGTCGTGAGGTTCCCTTGTGGCCCTCTTCGGCCGTCTTGGGGCCCTGATACGCCGTCTTGGGGCTCTCTTTGGCAGTCTTGGGGCCCTCTCGGTCGTTTGGCGGGTGTCTGGGGGCCGTCGTGAGGCCGTCTTAGGCCTTTAATGAGCTTTCTGAGGCAATCTTTGGTTCCACTCGAAGCCGTCTTAGGGCCGTTTTGGATGCCTCTTGGACAATCGTCGGACCTCTTGTGTCATCTTGGGGTCCTCTTGGGGTCCTCTTGGGACGGGTTGTGGCCATGTTGGAAGTTTCTCGTGCCGTCTCAAGCTAACGGAAGCCTGGAAGGCGAGATTGCGAAATCATTTTGAAACCAGGGGGGACCACTAATGTTGGTTTCTTCGGGCCCTGTTGGAGATCCCCATGTGGCCCTTTTGGGCCGTCTTGGTGGCATCTTCGGATGTCTTGCGGCCGTTACATATCGGGCCACCGTGGGGCCATATTGGGCCGTCTTCGAGGCATCCTGCGCCATTTTGGTGTCCTTGGTTGCTTGCATGGGCCGTCTTGGACGCTCGGGACGCGGGACCGCTCCCCAAACAGCGCTTGCATTTAGGATTTCCCGCTTCTTCTCAGGAGCTGATCTTGCTTGCTGTTCTGGCTGCCTTGTGGCCGCTCGTCGCCGCTTCGTCGTTGCCTCGTGGCCGCCCGTCGCCTGAGCCTGTTTGCGGGTCTGGCCGGCTTGTGCAATCGCATTGCGTTGAAATCGCAGCGCGTTTCGTTGCAATTGCGTTGAGTGGTATTGCAACCGCATTGCGTTACAATCGCATTGCATTGCCTTGCTTTGCGTTGCTTTGCGCTGCTTTGAACGGCATCTTTTCGTCCAATGTTCTCCAGCGTTGCCAATGTCAGCAACCATAGCTCACACCTCATAGATCATTACATTAGCTCCTACCCCATCAATTGCACAACATACCTCACATCACAGAGCTCACACCACATATAGCCGTAGCCATTTTGGCTCAAAGCCATGGCACCCTCCGTTAGGGTGCGAGTCTCGACGAGGCGCTTTGGGCATCTGAGGAGGTGTTGGCCAGAGCCAACACTTACGGCAATTGTCCCTGAGTCCCAGCTGTGGGCTCGTATCGGCGCGGGGGAGCGATGGCTGGCAGATTGTGCAGCACGGACAGAAGAAGGTCAGGTCATGTGGGAAGTGCTACATTGAAGTGAAATGGGCGACGCGCACAGAGTGCCGCATGTGTGGGCAGACGCGGCCGAAGGTGCCGGGCGGCGCGGGGGGCAGTTCAGGCCGAGAACCTCAACGCCCAGCTCGAGGGAGGCGCTGCCCGCGCGCTGGCCGTCAACAGGCAGCTCACCGCCAAGGACAAGCACTTGGAGGCGGCCAACGCCAAAATCATGCGGATGGAGGAGGCTTTGGCGAAGGCAGCGGGCTCCCAGTCGCCAGGCGGCGCCCCGTCGTGAGCGGAGAGTGTTGATAAGGCGGGCCGCATCGCCATGCTCCTTGGCCGCCAGAAGAACTTGGCGCAGGTGGCGGCCAGCTTCCCAGAGGGCGCCCAGCAAGGTTGGCTCGCCAGTGAGCGTCGTGTCACAGGGGGGCAGCTGGCCGAGGCGCGCGCGGCAAGGGACGGGGCCAAACCGTTGGCCACCCAGCTGCGCGAGGCAGCAGCCAAGACGGCCAACGCCATCAAGCACAACCAGAAGCTGGTCGAGGCTGTGGCCACGCTGGTGGAGGAGCTGGCGAGGTTGCAGGAGGCGCGCCAGGCGCGGTCGGCAGCGCAGGCCAAGGAGCTGGCAGTGCAGGCGTCGGTGGACGCGCAAAAGCTGGCGCCGCGAGCCCGCGGGGTGGCGTGCGACATGGAAGTCCTTCGCGTCCAGCTCGAGCAGGCAATCGCCAGGGCGGGCAAGTCCCTCGAGGCCGATCGCAGCCTCGATTTCAGCGCTTTGGCGGCGCACTTCGAGCAGCTGCGCGTGGCAGAGGCCGAGGCAGCTGCTGAGTCTGGTGCTCTTGGCCACCCGAGCGGGGATGACGAGTGCGAGTCCCCAGGAGCAGGCAGACCCCCCGCAGCAGCAGGAGAGGAGGCTGACATGGCTGTGGACCAGGGAGTGGGGCCAGACCTGGACGACGAGGAGCGCGCGCGGCTGCTGGGAGGACTCGCGCCCTCTGACAGCGACGCACAGCCTGAGGCGCACAAGCGGTACAGGGGCGCCTTGCAGAAACAGAATGAGCACAGGCTCGAGCGCCAGAAGCGAGGGTAATGGTCTCCTGCGATGGTGCTGCATGGGCCTAGCGTGAGCTATGAGGAGTCCCCATGGAAGGAACAAGTGTTGGCCAGCCTGCGGGAGGCGCAGCTGAGGCTGCCACGGTCAGAAGAGGAGCAGCCGGGGGCCTAGGCCCAACCGGCTGGTGGGCAGGCTGGAGGCAGTTACGCAGCAGTGCATGCGGATGAAGTGCGACGGCAGCTTTTACGGCAGAGCGGTAGGCAGCGCAGCCAGGCTAAGAAAGGCGAGATGGAGATCTGAACCTTCGACGGCTCGAACTGGCGCGCTCATCGCGTGAGGCTCCTGGAGGCGGCCGCGGCGAGGAGGTGCTGCCGCGCGCTGCAGGTGGGCGCGCTGCGGGGGGGTGCCATCGCAGTCGCTCAGAAGTCCATGTCCAATGCGGGCTGGAGGTGTCCATCTGCCGCGGCGGTGGCGACCGCGGACGGCTGCGCCAGAAGTGGAACGCCAGCGGGCGTGGCCCTGGCCGCGGGGGGGCAGGCGGGAGATGCCGAGGCGTGGGTTGAGATGGCCAGCGGACTGGCATCACCAGAGCTCGCGCAGAGCAGAACAGCGCCGAGGCTGCGCGCCGAGGAGGCTGGGGCGACGTCGCCACCGCGCGGGGGGTCAGGGGCCAGAAGCCGAGACAGCTCAGACACGCTCGACGCCCGCCGGGGCGGCGCTGCAGGGCGCGACGGGCCCGCGCGCGCTGGGGGCGGTCGACGGGGCCGCGCGGGCGGCGCATGCGCCAGTTGGCGGCGCGGCACGCGGTGGATGCGGGGCGCGCCTGGGTGGCGGGGCGCGAAAAGTTCGTCGCGGAGCTGCTCGAGGGCGGCGGGTTCACCGCGTCCTTCGAGGGCTTGCCGCCTGAGGCAGCAGCGAGAGAAAGTTGGGGGATCGCAGCCAGGATGCCGCGCAGCGTGGGCTGAGCCCAGCACGCGGCGGGAGCTGTGCAGGGATGACTTGGAGAGGCTGAATGGAGACGACCACCGCGTGGATGGGGTGGCGCCCTTGCAGGCCCACGAGAGGATCGCGCGGATCTTCCTGGGGGGGCTGGGGGCGTGCGACCGCCCCCCAGTGCGTCAGGCTTTGGGGGGCCTCGCACCGCTGGGCGCGCCGGCGCCGGGGCGTCGCGCTCGCCGAGGGGGCGGGGCCGCAGTGGTGCAGGGGCGGCGCAGGGCCGGGGGGGCTCCGAGGGGCTTGCAGCGGCGGGGGAAGTGCAGACGGCGGTCCGACGCCGAGACACCTTCGTGACCAACTCTAGCGACGGGCGCGCCGAGCGGGGCCTCGAACCAGGAGGGGCTGAGGGGGCGCCGAAAGCGCAGCGGCGCCAGAGGAGGAGGCACCTGCCGACCCGCGAGCAGGCCCGCGGCACGGCAGTTCGGCGTCATCCAAGGAGAGCCCCACGGGCGAC